GTTCCTGTTAAAACGCGTGCTGCAGCATTTTGTATGCATTGAAGGGTCTTTAATGATGAGTTTGGACAGCCTGATAAAAGGGAATTGCAATAATCCAGCCTGGAGGTGATAAAAGCATGGATTAGTGTTTCTGCATTGTTGTGATTTAGGATGTGCCTGATTGTTGCAATATTCCGTAGATGGAAGTATGGCAGTCCTTGAAATTTGCTTTATATGGGATTTAAAAGACAAATCCTCATCAAAAATAACGCCAATATTTTTTACCGTGGTGCTGGAGGTCATGGTAATACAATTCGAAGAAATTATGTTGTTGGACAGTTCGTTCCGAAGGTGCTGGGGGCCTAGTATAATGACCTCTGTTTTGTCAGAGTTTAATAATAGAAAGTTGCTGGTCATCCATGTCTTTATGTCTGTGAGGCATCCTTGCAGTTTAACTAATGGAAATTGTACATCTGGTTTAATTGATACAATTGTGTATCATCTGCATAACAATGAAAATGTATGGAGTTGTTCCTTATGATATTGCCCAATGGTAGCATATGATGAACAGGATGGGTCCAACGATACAGACCCTTGCGGTACTCCATGACTGACTGTAGTTTGTATTCAGGACTCATCGTTGACAAACTGAGACCGTTTTGATAGATATGACCTGAACCAGCTTAGTGCAGTTCCTCTTATACCTATCAAAAGCTCTAATCTTTGGAGTAGTATGTTATGGTCAATAGTGTCAAAGGCAGCACTCAGATCTAACAGAACCAGGATAGAGGCAAGTCCATTATCAGATTCAGAAAGCAGGTCATTTGTGACTTTAACCAGTGCTGTCTCTGTGCTATGATGTTTTCTAAAACCTGACTGGAATTTCTCAAATAAACAATTTGTATTTAAAAATGCACACAATTGTGAGGCCACTGCTTTCTCAAGGATTTTTGAGAGGAAGGGAATGTTTGATATTGGCCTGTAGTTGGCCATAACCTCAGGATCAAGGTTTGTTTTTACAATAGGTTTAATTACAGCTACTTTAAATGACTGTGGAACATAGCCTGACAGTAAAGATATATTCATCATATTTAATACAGGTGTAGGAATTAGGGGTGCAATTTCCTTGAACAGCTTAGATGGAACAGGGTCTAAGATACAGGTAGATGCTCGAGGATGAAATAATTGAATTGAGTTGGTTTTGGTCTATAGGAGAGAAGCACTCTAAGTATATGTCCGGTGTTAAGGGTGATTCAGTGCTGGCTAAGGGTAGGTGGTGGTTTATTTTGTCCCTGAGAGTTATAATTTTATCATTAAAGAAGTCATTACTACTGATGGATGTAGGAATAGAAGACTCCATGGAGCTGTGACTCTCGGTCAGCCTGGCTACTGTACTAAAAAGAAACCTGGCATTGTTTTTATTTTCTTCTATTAGGGAGGAATAATAAGCTGCTCTGGCAGTGCGTCCTGCCTTATATCTTTTAAGGTTATCAAGCCAGAGTAACCGAAATTCTTCATGCTTGGTGGAGCGCCATTTCCTTTCAAGCTGCCTTGTCCTCTGCTTTATTATGCGTGTTTCATTGTTATGCCATGGAGCTAGTCTTCTTAGTTTAATTTTCTCAATTTTAAAAGGGGCAATAGAGTCCAGTGTTATTTTTAGCGCCTCTGTAACACTATCAATCATATGATCTATTTGGGGGGGCGTAAGGTTAGTAAAGGAGTCCTCCCTTGGACTGTGAGATGTTAATGAGCTAAGCACTGATGGAATTGTTTCCACAAATGTTGCTACAGCAGAATCTGATAGATTTCTTTTGTAGGCATTCTTATGCAGTGGCTTATAGTCTAATAACAGAACACCAAAAGTTAATAAGTAGTGATCAGATAAAACAGGGTTATGAGCACTGACTGATAGATGCTCGATTTGAATACCATATGTTAGAACAATGTGGGCTCTTTTCACCCCATGTGTGTTTTTCTTCTCATTCACTCTGTGATATAAAATCCATCTTCTTTTTGCTCGTCATGCATACCCTCAGCCCTTCCTCTGTCATCATCTCTCATTGTAGCCCTCCCCCCCGCACTCTTCAGTATTAAATAGGAGGTCATGCTATTAACCCGCTGGTCACTCAGCCCGCTCGTGGCATGGATACACATGGCGGCTTCCCTTGGACTAAAGCTATACTGATAGTCAATCTGTCCGATCCTCAGGTCTTTGGTTGTTTAGTCAGTCAGCGAGTCAGTCCATCAGTCAGTTAGCTGCTCTGTCAGACGGCCATCGGACCAGGAACACACGGTATCAGTCATGTCAGTCAGTATGGGGCCGGGCGTTTCAGTCCATTAGAGAGGCACTTTCAGAACTCATGCTGTACCCTGAAGATAATTATCTGTTACTTATACACTCAGTTGTACAGTTGGTATGGAGACAAAAAAATGAAATGTGAATGATTGGTTTTGTTCGTCATTGTAATTGGCAATATTCCCTTTATCGAGGTGAACACTGCATTGAAGGTGGAACTTTTTCAGGTTATATTCTGCAAACTTAATATAACATGGTTTAGTAAAAAGCAGTATTTTGCAGCAAATTCTTCAGATGATACTTCGGCTCTGGTTTACATTAAACGTTTGCATTAATGTACATTTTTATTTGCCAATTTGAACAGAAATGATGTAAGGTTTGCCATACCTTTGGTTAGATACCTGACCATTATACAGTATACGCAACCTCTAATTAAAACAAAGATATGTATTATGATGAAATATTATCCCCATTATTATTTCCCTTTAATTATATTTCTATGTTTTTAAAGTGCATGGTAAAATATTACAATATGACGTTACTCTGTATATGTATTCAATATCTTAACTCGTAAACTTATGAGGAGTAATGGCAGTTAAAAAAAACAAAAAAAATGGTTAACTTTAAAAGTCCAAATGCAGATACGAGTACTAATATATTTTCTAGAGTTAGCACATACAGATAGAGCACAGGTGGCTTCATGCCAACATCTTGAATTTATGCAAAGAGTTTAAAACAAAGAAAAGTCTCATCTCCCATTTCCTCTAACTTTATTTAGCCACAGACCACATGGGAACCCTTTTTTTTTAATTTTTTTTATTTTTTTATTTTTTTAAATACCACCCATTTTACCCTCATTCAAATACACAAAGTGACTTCAGGGAGTTGCTCAATATGGCCTCAGTGCGGCTCAGCTGGAGCAGGCGGGGTTAAGTGCTTTAGTGCTGGGGCACCACCAGGAGGGGGGTGTTACTCCAACAGCACACAGTGGGGAGAGGGACTACAGTCACAAGCACACATCTTCTTTTAGATCAATGCAACTTCCGACCTAGAATAATCTGTTTTCAAAATGTATTTAAGGATTCAAGTATATACCAAAAGTGATGCAGGTGTGCAGGTAAATAAGTCACGTTTCACTGATCCTGTTTGCTGCTTCTTTTGATGTTTTAAGTAGCTTTAGTTTATGAATCAGTAAAAGTTTGGTTAATTAATTCACAACTTCTCAACCAAGATTAGAGGGTGTTGTGTTTGATATGAGATGTCCTTTTTAATTTGCTACATGGATTCCCAGGCACAACATGAATTAGCCGCGCTGTTAATAATCTTCCTTCAGGCAGAAACCACATTATCTCCAGAATCTGTCTGAAATAAATCCTTATATCGCTTAGAAAGGCTCATAATTTATCTCACGTTTTATACACATGGTACCTTACTTCTGTGACGTTTCAAGCTAGAGGATAAGGTTATAAGGATTACAATGTTGGTCATTAAGCCTGTCCATCCAACACTTTTATAGACTGAAATATCTCAACATATATTAGATGGATTGCCGTGAACTCTAAAAACACATAATGTTTTCCTGAGGATTCATCATGGGACCTTGGTGATCCTGAGACTTTACTGCCAGCAGTCGGTTGTCATTGACTCTTATCTCAACGACAGTAGTCTTGATTGCCATGAAATGAAACATTAACATTTCACAACATCAAGTGGCTCAAAAAAAAGTTACGCTCCCCAGAAGATGAATCCTTATTTGGTATACCTTTACCTTAAGGGCCATCAATAGCCAAGCATGTGAATTTAAGATGGATGAGTGAGGATGGATTTCAATTATTTATGTTTCTTTAGGGTGAAAAATATTAACTTACATTGTTATCGAGCGCCATCATCATTTCAATTTGTCCAGTTTATTGGTTTATGACTAAATACCCGCAAACCAAATAACATTCAGCTGTAATCCATGTGAATATGTAAATGTAAGCATGCTAAAACTAAACAGTTAACACACAGCATGTAGCATTGTTACTACGTTAGCATGATTTTAGCATTTCCCCCAATGAAGCGCTGTGGCTGAGTACAGCCTCACATAAAAGGGTTTGGACTCTCAGACACATGACTCATCCTTAAATAAACCTCACCCTCCAATACGCAGTGTGCTGTATTTCAAGCAGGGATTTTGTATTACTTGTCAGACTGTCTTGATATTAGACACAAATCTATATATCGCAGAACAAAATTAAGGATTCAAACACTGAAATCCATTACTTTTAAAGGATTATTTTAGGAAACAGAAATCTTTCTCAATGTCAATGTGTTTCTGCCATATGAGAGCATTGTAAGCTCCAAGGGCTTAACTGCTGAATATATATAGCTTAAAGTTTAGTTTTACTAGAAAACTTCTTTGAAATGGAGTACTAAGGCAAAGTGCTTCAACATTTGAACTGGGATCTCCACTTCAGATTGGGAAAGCCTCTCAAGTTCCACCATATAAAAGTGATATGAGAAACCAAAATAACTCTCCATATATGTGAGATTTCCCTGAAAACACTTGAATAATTAAGAAAAAGGTTTAGTGCAGAGACAAATACATCTAAAGGAACTAGAGGCTTCAAGGTTTTACTTGGAAATCCTAAGCGACAAAGAAAACATCTGCAAGCTGACATTTCAAATCATTATTATAGTGAGTCTGCAGAAGTTGATTTTGAACTTCAGAGTGCATCCCCAGGAGGAAAACAACTTTCTATGAAGGCTTTTAATCTGAAAAGAAACCCAGAACGTCATTTCACAAACAACATCTTTATAACAAATACAAATAATTAAAAATAATTGAACCCATACCCTAAGAGTAAAAGTAAAGCACTGTTTGTGGCAAATCTAGTTGGTTATCCTAATGGATTACCTTTAACGTTAACCTTTCTTAAAAATATCTTTATTAACAGAAGAGCATCTGCGAATGAGGTGAAAAAAAAGTCCTGCATTCCCTGGAGTGAATAAAAACCTGACGGTTAAAGGATGTAGAGAAAGAAAGTCATAAATGTACGTTTTTTCATCACACCAGAAATACCATTAAGAATGGATGGCCAAAAAAGAAAGAACACAAATCTGTAAACACCTGGTTGGTCCTGCCACTAGCATATGCTTGTCTCAAAGATTAAGCTATGCAAGACTAAGTACACACGCCCGGTACAGCGAAACTGCGAATGGCTCATTGAATCACTTATGGTTCCTTTGATCGCTCTAACGTTACTTTGAGAACTGTGGCAATTCTAGAGCTAATACATGCCAACGAGCGCTGACCTTAAACAGGGTCACAGAGGAAAGGACGGGACT